TTATACCTGCTAGATGAACAAAGAAAAACAATGATCTAATGGTATTGATTATTATAACATTCATCATTTGAGCTAATTGCTTGTGATTTATGCTGTTGGTTACAGCATAACTGAGATTCTGCATAAATATCCAGAATTTGTGAAAGAATGTAAAGGATTCCTTAAAAGTTGTAAAAAAAAAAAAAAAAAATCTTTATTTTAGGCACACACAGATATCAAGATTCAGTCAATGCATCTCAACAATGGTGATGAACAGAATATTCAATTAGGAAAAGTAAATTACATAGACAATTCAGATCATAATTTATTCATACCGCAATGCATGATGGGAGCCATTAATGAGTTGTGATTGGTGGCAACAAGGATTATTATTGTCACCACGGTTGAGATTCACAGGCTGATTATTGATGTCTGCGTTTCTAAAGAAATGCATTTGAAAGTGATTTGATTAGAACAATTTTTATTAAATGGTTTGGATTTTAAGAAACATACAATTATCATATGCTGTAGGACCACTAAACTGTTGCTGTCAAATTAAACAAGAACATCTGAATGGGTCTCATTTTTCAGATCACAACATGATTATGTCAAAACATAACCAACACTATCAGATCACACTTGTTTTTGTTCATTTGACTGTAATAAATCAATAACAGCAGACAAACACAATTTAAACTTAAAGTATAAGGATCAAGAGCCCAACTAAAGCAAACACTGATCGCCATAACGGTGGCTTACAATTTTAGATTTTCTCCTTCAGTGATTCTGCTTGTTAACATCAGGTGTCTTCAATAATGCTCAATGATCACTAAATTAATCACTTAATTATCTCATTAACTTTAACACTCATATCTGCATCATATCTTCCATCTGAAAGCAGGTGAAGGCGATTTACTACTAATCAAAGAACCGGCTTTACTGAAGAGACGCGCATAACAATATCGTGCGATATATCGCCCAGCCCTAATAACAATATCGTGCGATTAATCGTGCAGCCCTAACTCTATTCAATAACATTTTTGAAGTGAAACGAGTCTCTTGTGGAAATTTCTGCCGTCTCTATAAAGCATCTCTTCAGATTTCCCAAAACATCTCCATTTCCAGTCAGACGACGTGGTCTTTTATGCACAGTGCTCAGAGGTGGGTAATCCAGGGGCCAAAGAGTAAATGTCCTGCCATATGTTGATTCCACCCATGAACTCAGTCAGCTGATTTCACTAATTAGTTCTATCTCCTGTCTGAATTAGCAAATCCAGGTGATTGTAACAAAATACTGAGGAGGACTTTTACTTTCTTAACCTGGACTTTACACCTCTGCATAGCAATGCCACGTCAGCCAAGAGCAAAGAAATAAACCAGAACTGGACCTTATCGTAGCCAAAAAATCTGTGTATATTAAATATGGAGTAATTTCAGCCTTAGATGAAATCAACTGAAGATAAAAGAAGACATTAAATCTGTGAAGATCTCAGCAGAGGAGGAATAAACAACTCCACAAACAACATTACCAGCTTCACTTATTACTAACCAGACTGACTTTATTTCTGTCAGACGTCTACAGAAGTTCTTATTGAGAATTAACAGGGGTTTAACTCTGTTTCATTTGAAGTCACCATAACAGTGATTAGTGTTTCCATTAGTTGGGCTCTTAACTCTTATTAAATAATTTGTATTTTTTGGCTGTTGTGACAGTGTGTTTCTCAAACACATTTGGAACAGCAAAGAAAGTTAAAGTGAAATGAGATCAGGTGATGATGGTTACCTGTTGATGGTTTTATAATCATCATGAAACAGACTTATTCACTGAGGTTTTTATAATCTAACAATTATGTTGTTCCACTAATATATTCACATCACAAACCCTGTGTTAATGCAGCATGAGATCCAGCAATATAACAATCGGTTTAAGTCTTTTAACAAACATGAAAAAAAATGTGGCCTATGCTGACACACACAGATATCAACAATCAGCACAAGAATCTCAACAATGGTGACAATCCCAAATATGTAGATAAACATAAAATATTTAGATTAATTCAGAACATCACTGAAAAGTTACTAATTCACAACAAAAACAACAGCAAATTATAGGACAATTCATCATAATTTATTCATGTTGCAATGCATGCTGGGATTTTTGTACTATGCTGCTACCCAGCATGCATTGCAGCATAGTACTTTTAATTGTCACCATTGTTGAGATTCATATGCTGATTGCTGATGTCTGTGTGTGTCATCATAAATTGACTTTTTCGTGCTCATGTTTGTTAAAGTCTTCTAACTTAATGTTATAATATTGCTGGATGTCAGGCTGCAAGAAAACAGGGTTTGTATTTAAAAAAAAAAAAAAAATTTAACCTGACAAAGTAGTTGTTAAAGTAAAATACCTCAGTGAATCAGTCAATTTCATGATGATTATAAAACCATCACCAGGTATCCATCATCACCTGAACTCTTTTCACTTTAGCTTCCTTTGCTGCTGCAAAAGTGCTTAACAAACACACTGTCACAGCAGCCAAAAAAGATAAAATACATAATAAAAGTTAAGAGCCCAACTAATGGAAACACTAATCACTGTTATGGTGACTTCAAATGAAACAGAGTTAAACCTCTGTTAATTCTCAATAAAAACTTCTGTAGACGTCTGACAGAAATAAAGTCAGTCTGGTTAGTAATAAGTGAAGCTGGTAATGCTGTTTGTGGAGTTGTTTATTCCTCCTCTGCTGAGATCAACACAGATTTAATGTCTTCTTTTATCTTCAGTGGATTTCATGTAAGGCTGTGTCTGAAGTCAGTTGTAGTCAGAGATGTAAAGTCCAGGTTCAGAAAGTAAAAGTCCTCCTCAGTATTTTGTTCCAATCACCTGGATTTGCTAATTCAGACAGGAGATAGAACTAATTAGTGAAATCAGCTGACTGAGTTCATAGGTGGAATAAACATGTGGCAGGACTTTTACTCTTTGGCCCCGGATTACCCACCTCTGCTTATTACTAACCAGACTGACTTTATTTCTGTCAGACGTCTACAGAAGTTTTTATTGAGAATTAACAGAGGTTTAACTCTCTTTCATTTGAAGTCACCATAACAGTGATTAGTGTTTCCATTAGTTGGGCTCTTAACTTTTATTATGTATTTTATCTTTTTTGGCTGCTGTGACAGTGTGTTTGTTAAGCACTTTTGCAGCAGCAAAGGAAGCTAAAGTGAAAAGAGTTCAGGTGATGATGGATACCTGGTGATGGTTTTATAATCATCATGAAATTGACTGATTCACTGAGGTATTTTACTTTAACAACTACTTTGTCAGGTTAATTTTTTTTTTTTTTTTTTAAATACAAACCCTGTTTTATTGCAGCCTGACATCCAGCAATATTATAACATTAAGTTAGAAGACTTTAACAAACATGAGCACGAAAAGGTCAATTTATGATGACACACACAGACATCAGCAATCAGCATATGAATCTCAACAATGGTGACAATTAAAAGTACTATGCTGCAATGCATGCTGGGTAGCAGCATAGTACAAAAATCCCAGCATGCATTGCAACATGAATAAATTATGATGAATTGTCCTATAATTTGCTGTTGTTTTTGTTGTGAATTAGTAACTTTTCAGTGATGTTCTGAATTAATCTAAATATTTTATGTTTATCTACATATTTGGGATTGTCACCATTGTTGAGATTCATGTGCTGATTGTTGATATCTGTGTGTGTCAGCATAGGCCACATTTTTTTTCATGTTTGTTAAAAGACTTAAACCGATTGTTATATTGCTGGATCTCATGCTGCATTAACACAGGGTTTGTGATGTGAATATATTAGTGGAACAACATAATTGTTAGATTATAAAAACCTCAGTGAATAAGTCTGTTTCATGATGATTATAAAACCATCAACAGGTAACCATCATCACCTGATCTCATTTCACTTTAACTTTCTTTGCTGTTCCAAATGTGTTTGAGAAACACACTGTCACAACAGCCAAAAAAGACAAATTATTTAATAAGAGTTAAGAGCCCAACTAATGGAAACACTAATCACTGTTATGGTGACTTCAAATGAAACAGAGTTAAACCCCTGTTAATTCTCAATAAGAACTTCTGTAGACGTCTGACAGAAATAAAGTCAGTCTGGTTAGTAATAAGTGAAGCTGGTAATGCTGTTTGTGGAGTTGTTTATTCCTCCTCTGCTGAGATCTTCACAGATTTAATGTCTTCTTTTATCTTCAGTTGATTTCATCTAAGGCTGAAATTACTCCATATTTAATATACACAGATTTTTTGGCTACGATAAGGTCCAGTTCTGGTTTATTTCTTTGCTCTTGGCTGACGTGGCATTGCTATGCAGAGGTGTAAAGTCCAGGTTAAGAAAGTAAAAGTCCTCCTCAGTATTTTGTTACAATCACCTGGATTTGCTAATTCAGACAGGAGATAGAACTAATTAGTGAAATCAGCTGACTGAGTTCATGGGTGGAATCAACATATGGCAGGACATTTACTCTTTGGCCCCTGGATTACCCACCTCTATGCAACAACAGCAATCCCACGGATGCTCTAGTCCAGGGAAAGACTTCTGGTCCACACATCATCTCTGTGAGCTGTAAACACCCTGTCATGTTCCACGTCTGTTAACGGTGCATTGGGTCATCATGATGAACATGCTTCTCCACTGAAGAGCCGCCATAGGAGTAAACCAATGTCGGCGCTTTCCTATTTAGAACATGTACAGTCTTACCTTGTGCTCTCTGTGACCCTCCAGTCGTTCTTGTTGTTAAACACCATCCCTTTCACGAGTCCTTGGGTTTTAGAAAAGTTGCCTTGGTTTAATTTTTAAAAATGAATAGAACATATTGCGAATTATACTTACTGAAATATGTTAAAATGCACATTGCTAAACGGAAGCCTAATGTATTTAAGGCCTGTGGAATTGTAAATGGGAAGTTCTATTAAAACAATAGATATGTGTTTGAAAGACTGCTCTGAAGTCTTGTTCAGGAGCCAGAAAAAGACTTCCCTATGCGTTCTCTAGGATGTCTGTATTCTCTTAGAAATTCACTTGAGAGTAGGGCTGGGCGATATATCGCACGATATTGTTATGCGCATCTCGTCAGTAAAGCCGGTTCCTTGATTAGTAGTAAATCACCTTCACCTGCTTTCAGATGGAGCGGCATTTACTACAAAGAGCCGTAGTTAACTGACAAGCTGAGCCATATTGCATTAATATCGCGGACGTGTCGCCAGCCATATTTAATGCGATATGGCTCAGCTTGTCAGTTAACTACGGCTCTTTGTACACAGCAAAAACTCCAGTGTTAAATTAACACTCCTGGGAGTGTATATGAGTCCACACTCAAGAGTGTTAAAGTTAATGAGATAATTAAGTGATTAATTGAGTGATGATTGAGCATTATTGAAGACACCTAAAGCAGAATCACTGAAGGAGAAAATCTAAAATTGTAAGCCACCGTTATGGCGATCATTGTTTGCTTTAGTTGGGCTCTTGACCCTTATGTTATTAACTTTAGATTTGGTTTGAGTGTTGTATCTGAGTTATAACTGCCAGATCAACAAAGAAAAAAAGAATTTAATGGTGCTGGCTATATATGACAATCATCATTTGATCTTTATGTTTATGATTTATGCTGTTGGTTACAGCATAACTGTGATTCTGCATAAATATCCAGAATTTTAGATATAATATAAAGGATTTCTTAACTGTTGTTTAAAAAAATCTTTCTTTTAGGCACACACAAACCTCAAGATTGAGTCAATGCATCTCAACAATGGTGACGAGCAGAATATTCAATTAGGAAAAGTAAATTACATAGACAATTCAGATCATAATTTATTCATACCGCAATGCATGATGGGAGCCATTAATGAGTTGTGATTGGTGGCAGCCACTGCAGCATGCATTATTATTGTCACCATTCTTGAGATTCACAGGCTGATTATTAATAAGGATGATTATTAACATATCTCAATAAGTTTTTTTTTTTCAGATCAAAGCATGATTACGCCTAAGCACAACCAACACTATCAGATCACACTTTTCTTTGTTCATTTGACTGTTATAAATCAATAACAGCAGACGAACATAATTTAAAGATGAAAGTATAAGGGTCACGAGTCCAACTAAAGCAAACACTGATCGCCATAATGGTGGCTTTGTGATTTTCTCCTTCAGTGATTCTGCTTGATAACATCAGGTGTCTTCAATAATGCTCAATTATCACTCAATTAATCACTTAATTATCTCATTAACTTTAACACTCTTGAGTGTTAATTTAACACTCATATCTGCGTCATATCTTCCATCTGAAAGCAGGTGAAGGTGATTTACTACTAATCAAGGAACCGGCTTTACTGAAGAGATGCGCATAACAATATCGTGCGATATATCGCCCAGCCCTACTTGAGAGATTATTTTCAAAGAGGTTGGACGCTGAAGAACAGTGTCTTTGTCATATTTGAATTGATGGTTCTGTATCTAATGCCTTTTCTGAAAAGAAGTCATTCAGTATTGCAAATACATAAATATAGATATACCTGGTGCAATAAAGTTGTGACTTTTGTGAAAAGATGCTTTTTTGGTTGTTTTCTGTAATGCGGTGTATGCAGTTTCTTTCATTCTACAAAGCTGTCGTAAGGCTTCAGAATACTTCGGATATAATGCAGAATTTGCATATAGCACTTTTATTTATTTTTTTAACGTCCTCCTTTGGACATTTCAATCTGCAGATACTGATACACTGAAATGGTTTACGAATATACCATGTGTTAAGATTATTGTAATGCTTTATAATGAACACGCTTGTCTGAACAGAGCACATGAGTTACTTTATTTGCTCCGGGAACCATGAACACGCACTCAATCCAGCCTGATGAACTTGCTCCGTTATCACGTTCTCTTACACCAATTACATCTTCCCTTTTCAGTTTCCATTATATTATTTAGATTTTTACTTTCAGTGTTTTTCCCCCCATTGTCATAGGAACAATAATTATCATAAATAATCTTAAAGCTGCAGTCCGCAGTTTTTCCTCTTTGTCGCCATCTCTGTTCAAAATCTGCAATTGCAGTTGTTTGTGGAATTATCAACTTTAGGTGAGTTGTACTTCGACGGCACAGCGCGGATGAACAATGTTTGAGGAGAGTGTGCAGCTGTCAGTCGCCGCGCCGGTGTGGATACTGGCATTCAGAATCACAGATTATTCTTTTTGGAAGTATGACCAACATAATCATTTTCACTGGAAAATGTCATCTGAACAAGTAACATCCACTTTTGTTCTGTTTCTGACATTGCAGTAAATCGCGCTGATTAAATCTAACAATCGCTTATCATATCACGCAAAACCGTGCAAATTATACTTTGTTCTCAAATTGTTAATGTTAACAACTTCAGCATTGCGTGACTACATTTAATGTCCTTCCGATATTATTCTTGTTTTCGCATGGGTCTGGTTGCAGTCTCTTTTTTTCTGTAGCCACTCTGAAGTCCAAACGAAGTCTTTTGCATTTTACAGCGGGTTAATCTGTTGTCACTGGTGATTGTCGTTTGAACCTTTCTGGATCCGCCATCAAATTGATAAGTTTAAGTATATCAAGTGCTGTGAGAAAAGGCTATAAATCTCCACCTCCAGCATCCTCACACACAATATAGCTTATACTAGCCGAGACTCTTCTTTGTGTGAACAGATGTGACGTAATGACGCAAAGACATGCTCGAATCCACCAGTACCACTGGAATTAAAAACATTATTACAAGCTTACCGTTTTGAATCGAGCTAAGGCAAGCAGGATAGTTTTGAACACTGGCTGGTTATGTATTTTCCCAAAAATGTATTTTGGATCATTTTTAACCCAAAAAAGCTACGGACTGCAGCTTTAATGCAGTAAAGTGGTTGAATCTTCATCAGAGTCCTGATACACTGAGCTCATGATCATTCACACATCAGAGATTCAGACCTTCTGTGTATGGAGGGATTATTGGTTCAGATTGAAAACTAAAAGTCTGAAACTAAAAGTCTAATGCTACGTTCACACCGGACGCGAATAGCGCGTCAAATTCGCGTCTACCGCGTCTAGTTTGACGCTTGACCACTTTGTGTTAATTCGCGTGTCAATGGCGAAATTGATGCGCGTAAAAACAAAAGTTTGAAGCGAAATTTACGCGCGTCAGAGGCGAAAGTTACGAAACCCGTCGGCGGCCATCTTTTTAGATGTTTATTGAGCATTAGCATTAGCATTATTCGAGAGAGTCACCGCTCGTATATGCTCTGGAGAGCAGAAACAGCTGCGTAGGGGACATCGTCGCTGTACTCGGGTCCACCAGACCCTCCGGAGGGTTTCAGGAGTTTCACCATTTGTTCCAGGAGCTAGGTTTGGTGGACCAAACGGTGAGGACGCTGACGAGGACAGCGTAGGCCGTGTAAAGCCTCGGCCTCGAGTGGTCGCTGCCTGACGAGCCCGCGCTCTACAGCCCGGCGCGAGGTTCACCCTCGCCCGCACATTTATTTGATAATAAATGGAGCCAGCCTCCAAAAGTGAAACCTGTCCTGTGATTTTTTTATTTATTATACACTATGTGTTTGTTGTTTTTACATTAAAATAATAATGTTTCATATAATCTAAAATAGATATGGAATAAATAGCATTCAATACAAAATTAGTACTATCTCTCATATATTAAAATCGAGTTTTTATGTGAAAGATTTGCTTTGTTGTGCATTAGAACCACACCAGACATTTTAGTAATATTACAAAATAATTTATTAAAATAACAAACTTTCACTTTACCACGTGACAGCAGCAAGCAGGCTCCTGATTGGTTAACGCGGCGCGAATTGACGCAGAAGTTCAAATTTTTCAACTCGGGCGGCAGACCCGAATTAGCGTCAAACGCGTGAATGCACAAATAGCACTAACTAAATCATTCGCGCGTAACGCGCTTCCGCGCTTCCGCGCCAGACGCTTCAATTCGCGCCATTCGCGCGAACTTGACGCGCGAATGAGGCGTATTCGCATCTACCGCGCCGCGCTCTACGCCTCATTCGCGCCGCAGGAATTTTTTACGCGCGTAACGCGTCTTTGCATTGACTTAAAATTGAAATCACTCGCGCCTGACGCGCTATTCGCGTCCGGTGTGAACGTAGCATAAGTCAAAAATGAATTTGGTATTTAGGATTGGGCATTTAGTCATTTAGGATTTAGGATTGGGCATTTGAGGATTGAGGAGTGTATGCAAAAAAGGAGGCGTGGGCCAAATACTGGAGGCTGGGTTTGAAATGGCTGGTGCAGAGGCACCTTATGGACAGCAGAGGGAGCTCCCAGTGCTAAGGAGCACACTGTAATGAAACCAAACAGAGCGAGTGAGCAGGGCTGGAGCGAGGACTGTACTTTATAATGTGATAACTTCAACTTAATGACAGCGTTGTAACATTTATGTGGCCTCACACACAAAGTCACCAGTGAAAGGAGTGCTATCGGTCTGACAACGAGAAAGCAGCAGCCATTGTTAATGTGGCAGCCAACGTGGATGGCAGAGCACGACAACTTTCACTTTGAAGAGGACGCTCTGCCAGTGTGCTCCTTAGCACTGGAGCTCCCTCTGCTGTCCATAAGGTGCCTCTGCGCACCAGCCATTTCAAACCCATCCTCCAGTATTTGGGCCACGCCTCCTTATTTGCATACACTCCTCAACCCTCAATCCTCAAATGCCCAATCCTAAATTCAAAATGCCCAATCCTAAATACCAAATTCATTTTCGACTTAGACTTTAAGTTTTCGTTTAAGACTTTTATTTTTAGACTTTTAGTTTTCAATCTGACCCAATAATCCCTCCATATCTGTGATCCAGCTGTGTTATCCAAGATCATTTATGCTATAAACACATTTCTAGAAAACATTCGGCTGGTACGTTTGAACAATCTAGAAACTAATATTACCAAGGAACAAAAATGGCTCTTAGTTGAACAAGTAATTGTATGGAAGCTTGTTTCCGCCACTGAATGAAAAATAAAAAAGGTAATTGTGACTTTTTATCTCACAATTCTGACTTTTTTTCTCACAATTGCGAGTTTACATCTCGCAATTCTGACTTTATTACTCAGAATTGCGAGTTGTAAAGTCAGAATTGCGTGATATAAAGTCAGAATTGCGTGATATAAAGTCAGAATTGCGAGATATAAAGTCAGAATTGCGTGATATAAAATCGCAACTGCGAGATATAAAGTCAGAATTGATTGATATAAAGTCAGAATTGCGAGATATAAAGTCAGAATTGCGTGATATAAAATAAGAATTGATTGATATAAAGTCAGAATTGATTGATATAGCTAAAGTCGCAATTGCGTGTTATAAAGTCAGAATATAAACTATTCTGAGGGGGGAAAAGTTAGTCTTTTTTCCCCCTTAGAATTGGCCTGGTAAGTCTCAATTGCGAGTTATATCTCACAATTCTCAGAAAAGATGTTAGAATTTCAAGATATAAACTCGCAATTGTGTGTTATAAAGTCAGAATTGCGAGATGTAAACTCGCAATTGTGAGAAAAAAAGTCAGAATTGTGAGATAAAAAGTCGCAATTCTGTCTTTTTTTTCTCGCAATTGCGACTTTATTTCTCAGAATTGCGACTTTATATCTCGCAATTGCGACTATTTCTCACAATTCTGACTTCATATCTCGCAATTGTGAGATAAAAAGACACATAAAAAAAATGTATTCAGTGGTGGAAACAAGCTTCCATATTATTGAGTATGATTAACCTGATAAGAATCAGAATCTGAACATTTTAACAATGTGAAGTGGCAGAAAATAAACAATATGAAAACTCTGGATGGTGATGATAAAAGAGGCTGAGATTATGACAAGATCCCTGACAGCTTTTTTAGGCTGAAACCACACTGACATTTATTTGAAAAAAAATCCCATTAAGACATTATAACATTAAACAAAAAGGAAAAACAGCAGAGCACACATTAAATAGACAGAGAGAGATTTCCTCAGTGGCATCAGTACCATAAACTCATATGATTGAGTATGGTAATAATAACATGAATCTGCCAGTTTTAAAAATTCACTTACATTTTTACATTCTATTTATAAATTGAAAATATTTCCTGAATGTAATTTTTAAGTGTCACTCAGACCCTGCAGCCTGCAGACCTGGAGCCGGCAGATATACGCCCCTGGCAGTTTTACGCCCCTGTTGTTCCTGATGCGTCCAGTAGGGGGAGGCTGTACAGCGACACGAATTGAGTTATGTTAAAGGAGCTGTATGTAAGAAATTTATTTCAATTAATCATAAAATGGCCCTGATATGTCACTAGACATTAAGAAATCATGTACATTTCAAATACTTATATCACTGACAACAGTAGTCCGGCCAGGATATTGTCATTTAGAAAGTGAAGTTGCAGCCCTCAACTGATGTTGATGTTGTCATGTTGTGTTTTGGTCTGATGCTCCACCCTCCACCTATCGACCAATCACGAAGTCAGTAGTGTTGCGGCATCCGGGTTGCCAGCTCAGCTCTAGTTACCACAGCTGCAGCTCGTCACGTTCCTGCTGGATCCTGCTGCC